AATTGAGAAATTTGATGTTAAATTATAAAAAATTGGCCATTTCTAAACAAATAATTTGACGTATTTGTACAGGGTTGCCACGCATTGAAATATATAAGAAGATATATATTATCTAATTTTTAAATTCAGTATATTTTTCATATTTGAATGGTTCAGTACCAGAGTTGCTTAACCAACAATTTATTAAAAGTGAGTAAACGGAGATCAAAGTACTTTACCTGAATCTACTATAGACGAAACTGCCTAAGCTTTAAGTATAGATGGTGGTACTAAAAACAAATAATTTTAAGAAATAGGCTACTTTGGCACGCACAGATATTATTTTAAAATAGTAACATATGAAAAAAAGGTTGTTTTAGAAATTTTGTTGGTTAGGCAACTTTAGCACTAAGCTACTCATTTTCAACCGACTTCAAAAAAGGAGGAGGTTCTCAATTCGTCGGTATATATATTTTTTTACTGTCCTATCTGTATACAGATAAGGAAAGTATAGGAATCATGATTTTTTTCGACCTCCAGTTTTCGACGGATTTTTACGTTTTGGGGTCCCCTGAATCCGTTTTGACTTTTTTCGGGATGATGTCTGTGTGTGTGTCTGTGTGTGTGTGTATATCTGTGTGTTTGTCTGTATCCACCATAACTCATGAACCGATATAAAGAAAAACACCAAATTTTAAACTTAAGCTTTATTCCGGCGTCCAATGAACTGATTAGATTTTGGGCAGAGTCGGAACATCTGGGGAGGTACTTTATTCATGGTCATTTTTATATTTTATGGAATATATCCGTTATTTACGTTTGGAGAAGAAAATTCTTTTAATAAAAGTAACTTACAATATTAATATCTACAATTTTTGTTCTCTACAAACTTTTCCTAAAATGGTCCGTATTCGAGAAATTTGACAAAATGTAAAAAAATTAATTTTTTATAAAAATTGTTCAAATAAAAGTTGTTTGTAATATAATTCTCTATTATTTTTATTCTATACATAATTTCTCTAAAATAGACCGTATTCGAGATATTTGAGAAAATATGTAAATTTCGAATTTTGAAGAAAACTCAAAAACGGATAAATAAAAAACATTAAATTTTAAACTTAAGTTTAATTTCGGCCTGACGTGAAATGATTAGATTTTGGACAAGTCGGAACATCTGGGGGGGTACTTTATGGGAGGCCGTTTTTATATTTTATGGAATATATCTGTTATTTATGTTTGGAGAAGAAAATTATTCAAATAAAAGTTACTTCTAATATTATTATCTATAATTTTTGTTTTATGTCAAATTTTCCTGAAATGGTCCATATTCGAGAAATTTGAAAAAATGTGCAAACTTCTGATTTTTAAGAAAATTGTTAAACTAAAAGTTGTTCGCGATATCGATCTCTATAATTTTTGTTTATACATGATTTTTATTAAATGGACCGTAATGGAAAAATTGGAGGAAAAGTGCTAAATTTAAATTTTTCAGTATTTTCGTTTTCAATGAATATCTAGAAAAATGTTTCGAGGTAGATGTATGTGGAAAATGTTATATTTAGTTTATCCTCCAAACATTTATAGAGGTGCTGCAATAGGTTGTACAAAATAACCGGAAAAAGCCTATAATAACTAGATAGGAAAGTCATGTGTTGGACACATTTTTATGTATGTTTAGGGATAAATCTTTAACACGGTGTCCGATTTTAATTATTCTTTTAGATTAGAAAGGGAGTAATTTAGAGATAGTCCCATATAAATTTGGTCAAACTTTAATAATTGGGTCCATGAGAAAATCCTCTAATTCTTCATTTTTTATGTATGTTTAGCGATAATTCTTTACCACCTTGTCCGATTTTTATGATTCGTTTTTTTGTTAGGAAGGGAGTACCTCAGGGGTGGTCCCATATAAATTTGGTCAAAATCTAATAATTAGGTCCATGAAAAAATCCTCGACTCTTTATTTTTTATGTATATTTAGCGATAATTTATTGCCATCTTGTCCGATTTCTATGATTCTTTTTTTGTTAGGGGGGTACCTCAGAGGTGGTCCCATATTAATTTGATTAAGATGTGGTGATGGAATCTTCACGATTTTGAAGTCGGATTTTTAAAATTACTTTTAATGCTTGTTTAAGTAAAATTAAGTATGGGACATTATGTTTTGTTTGCTCTTTTCATTTATATTATAATAAAATGCGATATTTTGACTATTTAACCTAACTTTTTATCAATATTTTCTTCCATAAAACATAAACCAAAATAATTTCGTTTGTAACGTTGCCATATCGGTAAATTTTATTTAATCACTGTGTCTAATGTTCAAATTTGTGTTTAAGAATTGAGCTCCGTATAATATTAGGGACATCGGAATTACTCGAGGCCCTTCCTGTAGGGCCACAGTATTGCATTCATGCAGGCGAAAAAATATTCTTATCCTCACTGTTTTAAGACTTTTTTAACGTTTCCGATTAGGTATTCTAAGTCTAAAAATACAAAAACAATTAGTCTGATCATCTGTGCGTATGTGTATCGGTATGATAACTTTAGAAAGCAAGATCCGATTAACTTGCGGTTTTGATTTTCTTGAATAATTGCTTCTAACTTAAAACCCTATTGATTTTCAAAATTTTCGGTCCAACCTAACTACTTTAATATCAATGTTCTTAAAATCCAATGCATTCCAATATAGTAAAATGCCTGTCAAATTGAAACCAATATTAAAATATTTAGTTTCTTAAAAGTAAATAATAAAAGAATAGAACAATATATACGAAATACAAAAACGTTATAATTTTAAATAGATTAAAAACCTAAAAATATATAAATTCAGGTGTTAAATAAAAACATTTTCCTAGAAAAAAAATTTAAAATGGTTTTTAAAAATATTAATATTTGCACAATTTTCAAATCTAGAGTTTATTGAATAATTTTGAACATATACAGAGTGTTTCAAAATTTATGCAAAACAGTTCAGAATGAAATTCCTCATTGAAAATCTCGAGGGGTCGGTGATATAATATATAGTTTATTTGCATTATTATTATTATTATTATTATTATATAGAGAAATAATAAAATGACACACCTATAAATATTCTCCCTTTTGAAAGTTTTACAATTTTCTATTACTAATTGTTGTGTTTCTTTTCAGCGAATTCCCGTTATGAAATTTTAAATCGCCGCAAACGTCTCGAGTTAATCGGTAGTACGATGCCAATGGTCTGAGCTCATGTTCATTTCACCTCTGACAATAAAGACGTTTGTTCTTAGAATGTACCTCCTGGAATGTACTTTCCAAGATCAAATGGACAAGGCTGCAGATATACTACCCAGAGATATATTTTTGTGTCGAAGGGTTGATAAAGAATTGAATATGATCGATGATCGTTAATATCGTCGGGATTAGAAGATTTTCCGGACGTGTTTTGATCGGGATAATCTACTGGAAGCAAAGGATATTATGAAGAAGTGTAAAGAAATACTTGGAACGTCAAATGGTGAGTGTTTTTATTAAAATTTAATGTTTTCTGTAAACAAATTATTACACTACATAATAATAATCTTATTTCCAATTAGATATAATTTCTTGATTGTTTCGGCGTTTTACTTGATGAAAATTCATATTGTATAAATGAGAAAACCAAACTTTTTTATTTAAAAAATTAAAATTAAAAATTACTCAAGACAATTGTTTCGAATGTGACTTACATTTTGGTGTCTAAACATTTATTATGCTTTTATTATTCACAAAGAAAATTAACTAGTTAAAGTACTGAAGAGTTATTGCTCTGCTGATAATAGCAAGAAATTTTTATTAATAATAGACATTTTGTTTTAATCCTAGAAGACAGCATTTTAAAGATAATACCATAATTTGTTTATGTGCAAAGAAAATAAGTGGCACTGTGTTAGCATATTTTTTGAAAAATGACTTGTTTCTCCTAAAAAAAATTTCTAAAAATTTGACAACTGTTAATAGAGAATTAACATTATCAAACATGCATTATTCTTTAAACGAATACTATCAAGTTGTAGTAAATCTTTTTATTAACAAGACTAAAAAATAATTTTTAAAATTGGACGTAATTTTTAAAAAAGCAAACTAATTTCGGGTATAAAAATTATTGCAAAATATGACTAGAGAAAATGAAGATTTTTAAGCAAAAACGGTGAAGATAAACTCTGTAAATCCAATTTTAAATTTCGAAACCAAAATACACGTGTCCTTTTTCTGGTTCTTCTTCACGCATATCGTATACTGAACTAAACTTGTTTTTGCCCGTGACTTCACTTCTGCTGTGTACATAATTTTTTGTTTCTATGACTTATTGCTGTGTAAACCAGTTCAGCAAATGCTACAGACTCTCAGCTATTTTTTCGCCTATTTAACCCATTACAAAAAAAAATGACATCGTGTTGCTGTGAGTTCTTCAAATATATTATTTTTGATTACTTCATTTTTTTTATAATTTTGTAATTTATAGATCAGCGTTTCTCAAAGTGTGTTCCGCGGAGCCCTGCGGCTCCGCAAAGCCTCTGTGGGGGCTCGCCACAAAAAGGAGGACCTGGTTTTAGGACCTTTTGTTTTTTTTTTTTAGATTTCATTATGAAAGGATCTGATTTTGCTTGAGGACATTGTTTATTTTTTAGAAATGCGCCGGGGTTACAAAGTAAAATTAGGGCTTCGTCAAATATTTAGCTATTCAAAAGGGTTCTGTCGCCGAAAAAGTTTGAGAAACTGATCTAGAGGCTCGGCTGTAATAGAGTACTTCCCCGCTTGGTATGTAATATATTATTACTACCGATTTCAGAGTTCTGCAATTTCATTAAATGTACTAGGGCTTTATGCGGATATCTCTCATAAAATTTTCAATATAGCGCAGACTATGAAAACACAGTCTTTCCCTGTGACACGGTTGTACTTTTTACTATTGAAACAGAGTCTACTTAATGATTTTAGAAAAGCGTTATTTTTTGGAATACTTTGTATTAAGTTTAATATACTAATAATATACTTACTTGTCTAGTAAAAAGTCTACAGCATCCAATGATTCATGTTCAACCGCTACGTGTAGAGGAGTATTTCCAGAGTTGTCTTGTATATTTAAATCTACAAAAAAAAATAGTACTATTAATATATAAAATACAATTTTATAATTAATATTTCAGTTTTAAGCTAAATTTACCAGAGCATCTACAAATTTTTTTAGTTATCACTGATATGAAAATAAAATGCGACATTTTCCAAAACAGTGGTGAAATAATCAAAAGTAGGGTATCCTTAAATAATATATAAACTGAAACAATAAGAAAAATAAAATAAATGAAAAAACTGAAAATAAAGAATCCCCCTAAGAAATTATAAAGATTACACCCTTATATTCCCAAATTAAAACGAAATTGAAAAAAAGCTGATAATTAAGTAAGAAAAAATGCGTACAAGACCGGGAGGCATATTTACACATCCTCCTATATGACGGCACCGAGTGCTGAAATCTGTTCGCCTTTGTAGCCTACAAGTACGCTACAAAAGCTCACTGATTTAGGCACCAATGCATGAGGCCTCTCTTATTGCTGGAATCAGTATACAAGCAAGCTTATCTGCATTCTATGAAACAATGGCTGTACTTAAACTGCCGCTAATCGGTCGTATACTAAAATGCCGTTAATAGACATGATGTCATCCAAATGACGCATTATCATTTTGTTTTTAAAGTTTTCATTCGTTTGCTTAATTTTTTTTTAAATTAATATTAAAAATGTACATTAATAATTTTACCTTCCACGACTAATCGTACATATGCTGTATAAAAAAGAAACTATTTTTCTTCATTATATAAAGAAATAAAAGATAATCTGTTTTGTGAGTTATTTAAAAATATTTTTAGCCCCACTGTTTAGTATTGATGATGGTTCAAAATTGGCGGGCCAACTAACCATTTAACCTATAAAATAATTCTGTGGTAAATGATTTCAAATTTTCTATCCTAACATGGAAATGCCACATTTGTCAATGATTTACTCAGTTCAAAATATAAAACCTTTTCAAGATTTATTTTATTTAATCTGCACTGAGACGAAGTTGTAAAAGGATATCTACATCTACAAACAAAACGCATACAGTCCATATATTCCCAGAGGGCTGCAGCTGACAGCGACAAATCAAAAAATATTTAGAACGAGGGATAAGCATTCTCTTCGCCTCTTTTTCATGTAAAAATCACAATCTTTTTATGGACACCTACGTTAAAAAAGGAAATGTTAACAGCTTGCTCATTGCCAACGACAAAGATATTGAATTTATAAAAATTATCAATTTGTATATTAAAACAATAATTTAGACCAAACTAAAACTATCTATGGATAATTAAAAAAATTTTTAGGCCAACCCCACTTTCTTGTATAAATATTTCAAGATTATTTTATATAAGTGTCCAGTTATAAATTATTAAACTTTCCGACCAATGCTTAAAGCCGCGTTGACATAACGCATTGTTTAGAGGTAGGGTCCGATTACTATTAGAAGAACACGTCATAATTTGGCAAAAAAATTAATTGGTTATCGCCACCTACTGGGGGGTTTAGTGGAGTATTAATATTATAGAAATATAGGAAATATTGAATGATACCTAACAACTTACTTATTTTTTATTTATTGATAGTTATAGATAATATGTATTCAAAATTCGAAGTAATGGTTATGACGTAGCGGTGTTTTCCTAATTGTAATCGGACTCTACCTGTTAACTAGCGCCAATAGACGGGTTCTTATGAACTTATAAATCTGTTAACATATTACTAGCGAAAACAGATTTGTATTTTATGTAAAATTATTTATTTATTTATTTAAATTGCAAAGCACTTTCTGCATAACTCCATCATCAGTGCTCATCTATAAAAATAATAGGGGGTAAATATAAAAATATGTAAACATAAACAAGAAATTTGAGTCATAAAATTAAATTTAAAAAATATTTTTTTTACAGTTAAAAAATTAAAAATTATAGGTTTCTCATAATTTGGAGGAAATGATTAAGACATTGTCCCAATTTAATTTAGTTAACAGTTAAAAGACAAATTACAATTAAAAAAAGGAGAATATGTGATGAATATAATTGCAATTTTAAATTTGGTTTGAATTTAGAGGAAAATTTTAAAACTTATATTAAAAATACGTACAGTCACCACAATAATTTTCCACAAAGTTTAACCGCTATCTTCCTTAATATTATTAAAATTTGGTACGTTTCAAATTTTAATATACAGTATGGTTCAAATGAAAGGAATAAATTCATTATAATGGAAGTAGTTGGTTTTTCGAAAAAATGCTCGGACAGGTCAATTTTGTTTACTAAAAGCGCAATTTTTTAAATAGAATTCAATTTTCCCCCACTTCTCGTTTTTGGGCAGTGACGTCATTGACAATTTTTTTAAATAGTAACCCCAATTTTTTTTTCTTGATTTTGAAAGATCTTGCAATTTCCTACTCGGAAACATAATATTTAAAATATCTGACATAAAATGTTTTTTGAATAGAAGTCATTTCAAGATCAGATACATACATTTTATTTTATTTTGAAACACAGTAAATGAATAAAAGATTTTTTGTAATTGAGTGCTTCATCTAAAAAAATAATAATAAAAAGAATTTAATAACAATTTCACAAATTCTTTTTTATTATTATTATTATTAATTATTATTATTATTATTTTGTTAGATTAAGTACTTAATTACAAATAATTATATTATATTCATTTATTGTGTTCTCAAAATAAAATAAAATTTATGTGTCTGATCTTTAAATGACTTTTATTAAAAAAAAAAAAGTTATGTAAGATATTATTTCAAATATTATGTTTCCGAGTAGGAAATTGCAAGATCTATCAAAATCAAGAAAAAAAAATTGGAGTTACTATTTAAAAAAATTGTCAATGACGTCACTGCCCAAAAATGGGAAGTGGGGGAAAATTGAATTCTATTTAAAAAATTGCGCTTTGAGTAAACAAAATTGACCGGTCTGAGCATTTTTTCAAAAAACCAACTACTTCCATTATAATGAATTTATTCCTTTCATTTGAACCATACTGTATAATAACATACTATTTTACTAGTAAACAAGAATAATGTTATCGCCCCTTAAGATACTGTTGGTAGTAAATTTTAACCCAGATATGCCTAATGTACTATGTGTCGTATGGCTTGAAAACAAGTGTTAAACCGCATAGTGGAGGCCGTCTTTATACACATGAAACTAGTATGCATGAGAAAATGCGTGGGTCAGTGATAGATTGTCTTTTTAAATAAAACTTTAAAGTTAATGCCGATTTACACGTATCTAGGAGCTGGCACCAGTCTCACCAGCATGCCAGTACTGGCATATGAGTGGCACCGTTTGAACACTTTTTTGTGCCAGCAGCTTCCACCCCCCGTATCTGGTAACACCAACGCTAGCACACCATCGAACGTTGAGCATTGAATTTATTGAGATTTTTGTGTTTCTATGATAAAATGACTTGAAAATTCAGTGAATATGAAACTTTTAAGCTAATTCAATTGTATAGAAAACAAGAAAGTTTATGGAATATCCGATGTGACACATACAGAAACAAACGCGCACATCAGCTCTATAACTAATTCAGAAAGAGATAGGTATTGAAGGCCTTACGATTGAAGATATAAAAAATTAAATTAAAAGTATTAGAAATACATATTATTTAAAAGTCAATAAAATTGGGAAATCGACGAAAACTCACGATTGATTGGACTCGTGTACACGACCTGGGCCCAGTGCTTTGCCAGCCAAGAATTGGCATGCCACTGAGACTGGTGTCAGCTACTGAATAAGTATAATCGGCCTTTAGCCAACAAATCAAAATGGAACATTGCAAATAAATAAAAAATTCCGTTCAGTGAAAAACTAAACAACAAAAAGTGAAGTTAGCGGTGGGCATTAAAATATTGTCAATATTTTTTTAAAAAATTTGGTTATTTTGAGCGTTAAAAAGAAGTACATTAAGTAAATATAGTACATTGGAAAAATATATGCCTATCAATATAATTAAATATCAAGAGATTTTCAATTCATGAAGTCCTTGTAACGATGATAAAAATACCGGTAGAGTCAAGGAAACAACTATATTTCCATCTAAGATTGTAGCTGAAGATACTATATCATGAAGATTCCGGAGATGAAGATGATCTTACAAAGATAACATTCCTGTAACACAACTGAATGTTTCTGCAGCAGTTGCCTTTCAAAACAATAACTACGACAGCGATGTTTCCCCCTTCATTGAAGGACAATATTATAAGCTCCGCATCTAAATTCATTTTGCAAGATCTGACTAAAAATGCAGCCTAAACTTACGGCGACAGTGATTGTTCTTCGCGTGTCAATTTGCTCATGTCTTTAATTGCAAACAAACAGATTACTATCGGATAGAATCAGAAACAAATAAAAGAGTCTTCGAAAAAAAAAATCCGAATGGGTCATAGACGATTTGACTCCGATTTGAAAGCAATTTGAAAATAATTCCAATGTCCCGGCATTAGAGCATCTTTTGGAACATTTTTAGAAAATGATAGACTCTATTGTACACTTTAGCAGTAGCTCAAACAAGTATTACGAATTAAAAATTCAAAAAAACCGACTTCAAAAACGGGCAGATGCCATCACCACATCTTAGCCAAATTCATATGGGACCACCCCTGAGGTACCCCCTTACTAACAAAAAAAAATCGTATAAATCGGACAAGGTGGTAAAGCATTATCTCTAAACATACATAAAAAATGAAGAGTTTGAGGATTTTCTCATTATTCCAATTATTAGATTTTGACTAAATTTATATGGGACCACCCCTGAAATACCCCCTTTCTAACAAAAAAAGAATCATTGAAATCGGACACCGTGTTAAAGAATAATCGCTGAACATACATAAAAAAAAAAAAAAAAAAAAAAAAAAAAAAATATCGCGACGAATTGATAACCTCCTCCTTTTTTGAAGTCGGTTAAAAAAAGAAGCGAAGACCAGACATATAAAAGCACGAAGCCAAGGCTTTTAATGGGGTTTTTTCTTTAGTGGATTATGTACAAATCCAAGACTAGTGATTTTCAGGAAGCGTGGTAAAGATGGTCACAATGACATGATTCGAATACTTGCTTTTATCCCTTTATTTCTGCGACAATTAGCAGCTTAAATGGGAAAAGTTCACAAAAGTAAAGCCAATTTTTACACGAGTTGTGGATTGGCAATACTAGGTTGGGCAATTTGAACTGGTTTGGAGCGTCAACAAACATTAGTTTATGAGTGGTTTTCTAGTATGCATTAGTCCTGGCAAAAAACTGGATACATATGAAATTTTACCTTTTATCCGAAAATTTTTTCACTTAAATTCATTTGATCAAAGAGAACAGTAATAAACCGCACCACTGGAATAACGAGGAGAAACGGATTAAGAGGAGTCTCTTTCATAGTCTCAAAAGCTATGAAGAAGATGAAGAAAAAGAAGAAGAAAAAAATAAGAAAAAGAAGAGTAGATATAAAATGTTTTAAAGAAGCGTAGATGTAAAATGTTTTGTGTAGTTTTACAGCAAAAACTGATTTTAACCCAACAAGTATCAATGTGGCTAATGTACCTAATATATGTAAGGTACGGCTGACATTTTGCCTATTTTATTTTTTGTTTGTTTTATCTATCTATAATTTCGTTGTTACTAAAGAACTATTCTAAAAAAATATTTTTGTTCTGTGACGCGAAAAAAGTTTGACATTTTATCTCTCTTGCCAGGGAACAAAAATGTCACTTTTTATGTACTTTTTTCCCCGTTCCCCCGGGAAAAAAGTAGATACTTTTTCCCCGGAGATATATATATATATACACATAAGTAAAGGTAGATAGTTTAGAATATTTTTTTCAATTTTAAATCGTCGTTTTTCCTGTCCCAGAAAAAAAATTGTGTATTATACACGAGAAAAGTATTCTAATACTTTTTCCCTTGTATAATAAATAACTATTATTTACTAACTTTTAGGCATATCTGAGTTAATAACTTAACACGTAAAAAAGATATATACCTCCTCCTTGATCCACAATAAATTGAAGAATATTAACCCTGTTTCTTGAAGCTGCTTGGTGAATTGATGTCCTTCCACGACTATCACGGATAACGAGACGTGTAGGATCTGCATAATAAAGACGTTGAAAAACTTCTAGGTTTCCACTTTCAGCTGCCTGAAAAATTAAAAATTGCATACTTTTATAAGGTTTAAAATTACAAATAATAGGTAAATCTTTAAAGTCATGAATAATGATTCCTTTTTATATATTTTAGGTCTATTCTATTACTGATACCCACCTAAAAAAAGTGGTGTCTAAGGCGGTTTCAAGACCAGCTGGTGAGGAAGAATATAAACTGCTGTCATTGTCAGTTAGATTATTGAAAATCCAGTGTTTTTAAAAATATATTTTTAAAATAACTTGTAGAGATAATAGGTACTCAGTAGCGATATAGATAAGTAAGAAGAATAGGATACAGCTGATGAGTGTTCACAAATTCTAAAGATAAACGAGCAAAATAATAATTTTAAAATATTACAGATGAACATCCGGAGTATCAATAAAAACATTGATGAATTTAAAATACTTTATAGTCAGACTTTGATTGTATAATATTAAGTGAAACTTGGAAAATTATCGACGTTGGTCTATTTCACATCAATAGATACAACTTTATATATAATGAGAGCATTATAACCAAAATAATGAAGTTGCGGCTTATATTAAATCGTCATTAAAATTTAGTTATACCACAGTTGAAATCTGTTAAAGGCGCTTATTATAAGGCTCAAAACACTAATAAATTAAATAATATATTTCAAAATATGTGTTGACTCCCTGTATATAATTCAGACGATCCAGATACTGCAACGAACAAATTTCTTAATATAATTCAAGACAGTCTTACATCATGTACCGAAAGGCGCCTAAATAGAAGAAAAAATGTTAAAATTGCTCCAAGGGCGACAATTGGCCTGCTTAACTCGATTAATAAAAAAATAAAATGTTTCGCAATATACAAAAATATTCAAATAATATTGAACTATTACGAGAATATGAAACATTTCGAAATAAACTTAACTCGTTAATAAATAAGGTTAAGTATAATTTTTATAAACAGCAAATTGATACAAATAAAAATAGCTCTAAAGGCCTATAGAGTGTAATTCAGGACATTAGTAAATCGAAGGTTAAGAAAAAAGAAATTGATATAATTAAAAACAGTTTAGGTAGTCCATTGACAGACAATATGAAATAGCTAATGAATTCAATAACACTTAATGCCACTATGGGTAAAAAAAATTAAAATTAATAAAAATTTTACATTAAGGAAGATTTCCTCTCCAAATTCTTTTTTCTTTGCGCCAGTCAAAATGAATGAGGTTAAAGTGATAATTAACGAACTCAAAAATCATAAGCCTACCGGCAATGATAATATCAAAGCTGAAACTCTTAAAACAACTTCACAATATATCTGTCAACCTTTAACACATATTTTAAATCAATGTATAGTAAAAGCTATTTATCCTTCGGCATTTAAAAATACCATTATTACACCTATATTTAAAAAACGGATGCTACTAATTATCGACCTATTTCACTAGTTACGCACTTATCTAAAATTTTCGAAAAACTAATAAAAAATCGGCTTCAATTATACTTAAACAAATTTAATATATAGTCCATACAAACAATAAGTCAACTACAAAGAAATACCGATAATGGAAAAAAAAGTTCGGCTTCCGTTTGAAGATGCTTCAAAAAAAAATTCACTAAATATTATGAATAAAGACCGGACAATTTAATTTATTCTTATCAGCGAAGTAACGGTAAGAGCGGACCTTCGATTTGAATAATACATTCTGAATAAAACAAGTTATTTACTGAACTGGTCGACACAGTAGATAAGATATTGGATTTTTATCGCCCGGGCGTAACATTTGGGGCGGGCTTATTATTACATTTACATTGCAATAATTATTTTATTAAATTTTAGTTCAAATTTGGTTGGATATTATTATATAATTACAAATGATATTATTATTTATTTTTTTATTGTGTTGTGGGATAATGTTGTTGGCTTTTTCTGTTAATATATTATTGACTAATAAATATATCAACGAGGATACACCATCATTAGTTTTATGTTTAGAGTGTTCCAATATACACTCTTTATCCTAAAGTAGCAAATATACAATTATATACAATATATACAATACAAATTAATATCAATCTTCTTCATTTGAAAAATATGTTTGTATGACTGCATATTTTTCTAAATTGTCTTCAGTGAAATTACTTCTTTTAGAAGTCAATAAATCTTTAAACCTAGAAAACGATCGTTCTACGTCACAACTCGTTACAGGAGCAAATGAAAAATGTGGAACAAAATCACAATATTTTAAAGCAGTTTCATAATCGTTAAAATTGTTCAGGGAGATTTGTTTCAGAGTCTGTAAATTTGGATTTCTTTTAATAACACAATCTATTTTATGGTTAAATTTATCTTGTAAGGGCCACTTTACGTTTTTTAAGTGTAACAATGTCGATTCAAATTTTTCCATAGCAACCGATAATTGTAAGTTACGGGTTTCAAGGAATTTTATAGTTTCTGGGAGACACGAAAAATAAGTCGCAAGAAAATTTAACTCCGACTGCAAAGTTGTTTTTGTTATTAAACCTTTACACTGAGTGATAGAGAGAGCGTCCTCTGATAAGTTGGAAATAAATACTTTTAGTCTGTCGAAATGCTCCGAAAAAAAGAACACAGCCTGTAACCAAGTTCCCCATCGTGTAATAACTGGTTGTGGAGGTAGGGGGATATTCGGACATATTTCTTTATATAAAGAAACTCGGGACGGTGCTTTTAACAAAATTTTTTTAAAACAGCTAATCAACGAATTAATGTCTGGAAAGCTGTCACGGATAAACTCACAAACTCGGTGTAACGCGTGAGCAAGGCAAGTTACATGCAGCATGTTTGGAAAATGTTCTTGTAATAGTTTCCCTGTTTTCAACATTACACTTGCCGCGTCTGAAATAAACAATAAAACTTTTGAAACGTCATTATCAATTACATTGTTCAATCCACGTTTCACTATTTCATAAATCATTTCAGCGTTCACAGTTTCACGAAACACACTAGAAACTAAATACTGTTGTGAAGTATTTTCAGCACTTAATAATCCTACAACAACATTAACAACACATCTACCCTTTATGTCAGTCGTTTCATCTGCACTAACCCAAATATATTTGCTGGAAATTTTCGTTTTTATTGCCGTCATTGCTTTATCGTACTGATTTTGAATATAATGTTTTCTAATTGTGGATTCATCCGGTATTTTACGTTTAGTATATTTACAAAGAAAATTTTTGAAAATTGTATTATTTAATTTTGTTAATGGAATATTTGCAGAAACAAATGCGTTGCATAAATCTTCATAAAAGATTTTGTCTGGACATCCCTCTAAAGATTGCATGTGTTTTTGTGTTTTCACATGTTTGTGTCATACTTGACTTTCCATTAAAAACTAACACCTGATCACAATTGCGGCAGTATAATTTGTTGTCATTAAAACGACGAAAACAATCAAAGTCCGATAATAAATTTTCCATATTTACGTTTCCAGTTTCTATCACTTTTCCCTTTGAACTAAACAAATATACTCATTGGAAAAATCTAGTGATATTTTTACAAGACACTTTCTTCTCAAATCTCCTGTTTATCGACTCTTTGTTATCTTTTTACATTTTTTCAACCAACAGATACCTATATAGAGTGAGCAATTGAATTAATACATACATTACAGAAATTTAACAGACATTTATTTTATTGTCTCATCGTGTATAAGTACCATAATATCCACAGGAAATAAAAACATAAATGTTTTGTTACAAAAAATCGGTATGTACGGTATCGATAAAAGCCAAAATATTCATAAATATAATATAAGGATTGACTTTATTTGAATAAAAATATCACCGGCAACTAACCGACAATGGATCGAGAAAGTATAAGACAACATATGATGGGCCTATTTGACATTCATTTTAGGCCCTCTCTACAGCGTCTTAGTCCAAACGCTCGTAGAGTCCTAATATTTGGCCCCGATGCAATTTCTCCAACAATGAATCGGGACCAGCTAAGGCTAGAAATTTCCAATTTTCTGGAGGAAATAACAAATTCGGGGGAGGCAGCTGGGGTCCTCGATCCTCATTTTAGGCAGGAGAGTAGTGTACCACGCCAAAATATTGAGGAATAGATATTTTGTAATTATATAAGAGATAATAATAAAAAAAATATCATACAGAATATCGTTTACATTACTACACCTTAAACTCGCTTATGAAAAGTTTAACATCTTCATCAAAAAAGTTATTTTTTTTTAAGGAAAATTTCTCAGGCCACAAATTAAAGGATCTGAGGTTACTAAAAACTTTTGTAAAATATCCTACATATCCTCGGCGTTGGTGAGAAGAAAACATTAAATTTGTTTAATGAAAATGATTCAAAAGACAAAGAATATAGGTACACGATAAAAAAAAATCTCACTTTTTTGTATTAGTTTTAATGTCTATGTATATATCAGTACACTTTTTTTATCTTGTTTTAATAAAAAAAAGAGGTTTGTCCTGATAGTATTAGAATCTGCCACACTGTCTGCCGTCTTAAATAGCGAACCCAGAATGAGACGCCTATGTGATTAAAACCAATTATTTGAACGCGATTAAAATGTCCGGTCTTTAATTATGAATGAATACATCTAAAAAGGAGTCTCTACCAGGAGTATATCATTATTATGCCCCTGGACGATAGTAATACACATACTTTAATACTAAAAATTTTTAACTCAACTCCGTATTGGAATATAGTAGTCCAGTTTATTATTTCTCTCTACGTCGCTGAAATGAACCGATAACCTGTGTAGACAGACTGGAATATCGTGTCGTGCGGCATTGTAGTTAAAAGTATCGGCAAAGTAAAAAGAAGCCAGTGTCGTCGCATCGTTAAGTCAGTTTATTATTTAATTTAATATTGCGAGTATTTTAAAAATTAACTATTACCACATATTTAAATTTCTACGATTTATTATATAAAATATATGTAATAAATAATTTTACAAAGCGAAAAATAGATTAATAATAAATCATTTTGAGGATTCGATTATGAA